ACTTCTTTCCAACCCTGTTCCTGGAGGCACACCAACATTACATATTTTGGATTTCTTCCTTATCTGACCCATTAACTTCAGGTTTTGGACGCTCTTCTAATGTTCTGATCAGTTAATTCAGGTGTGTTTGATTAGGGAGACATTAAATGTGAACAGGGTTGGGAAACACTGCATTAAGGTATATGCTGTGGGAATTAGTTCATTAGCACAGTATGGAAGGCAGTCGGTGCCAAAAGACTACAAACATGAAAATGTGTACTGTTGGTGTGCCTTTAGGAACAGGGTTGGGAAACGCTGTGTTAAGGTATATACTGTGGGAATTAGTTAAAAATCAGCTAATTCTGATCAATAAACAAATTTGCTTTGGTTTTTACAAGCGTTAGGGGCTTAACACATGAAAAAAAACGCTGTGTTTCCCAACCGTGTTCCTAGAGGCACACCAACAGAACATTTTTTTGTCACCCTTATCTGGCCCATTAACTTTAGCAGGTGTGTTTGATTAGGAAGAGGTTGAAAATGTGTACTGTTGGTGTGCCTTCAGGAACAGGGTTGGGAAACATTGTGTTAGGGTACACGTTGTGGGAATTCATTCATCAGCACAGCTCCATAGAGTTATGGAAGGCAGTCGGTGCCAAAAAAAAAAAGTCTCTAAAGACATGAAATTTGATCGTACACACACACACACACACACACACACACACACACACTCTCTCTCTCTCTCTCTCTCTCTCTCTCTCTCTCTCTCTGACTGTATTTGTGACTATATTTGCTTATAGGATATGTGTATACAAACATTGTGCTTATTAATAAAGGATATGTTATAAGAATATAAAAAAACAAACACAGAAAAATGCTGCAATGTATAATCCTTTGCCCTGGGTCTGCACCAAATGAGCCGTTTTACTGGTGTGAAAACACCCACTCAAACATCACTATGACCAAAAAGACAAACAAAAACTCTTGCAGTTTTTAAAATGGTAGCTGAACACAATGCCATACATATTATACCCACTTCTTTCCCAACCCTGTTCCTAAAGGCACACCAACAATACACATTTTCAACCTCTCCCTAATCAAACACGCCTGAATCAATTCATCAGAACATTAGAAGAGACTTCAAACCTGAAGTTAATGGGTCAGATAGGGGAGACATCCAAAATATGTACTGTTGGTGTGCCTCTAGGAACAGGGTTGGGAAACACTGAGTTAACGTATGCATCAGAAAATATATACTTTGTACTTCGTGGCTGATTGGTTCACCTGCTAGTCTGTTTGTTTACCTTCAGGACATAAGTGCTAGGAGTTGTCTGTGCTGGCCAGAGATCTACTCGATTGGACAGAAGAAGCAGCTGTTCAATCCTTCAGTTTTGGCATCCACACTTCTTTACTCCTTCTACTCCTCCATCATCTTTTTCTTCGTCCCTATGGGAATCTTGCAGTACTCTGCTCTCGATTTCCAGACTTTAGCCATTACTATTGAGACATCTGTGCTGTTCGCAACCACTTTGGAGGTAACTATTTATATAAATAACATTCGGATTAAAAGGTAATTGGAAAGGAAACATTAATGATGGTAGACTTGTTTTGTTTCTAGGTTATTCTTTGCACTAAATACTGGACCAAGTGGAACGTTGCAGCAGTCATTTTTAGTCTAGCAGCGTTCTTTCTGTCCACACTGGCTCTCCATAGCACTCGCCTGTTCACCGCCTCACCTAAAGACTACTTCTTCCTAGGTATGAATGTCTGCAAAAGAAATTATTGTTGTGTTCATCACATGACTCTAGAAAAGGGTTACCCAAACTTTTTTTTATGAAGAGTTAAAAACCAAACTTGATTGAGGCTAGTGGGCCGAAGGAAAAGATAGTTGCCAAGAGAAATTTCTTAAAAATATTTTACAAAATAACTGAAAAACATTGCTTTATATTAACTAATACAACATATATTTTTTACATTTTTATAATTAACTTATTACAGTAAATACAAAAAACAATCTCATTTATAACAGAAAGGAGTTACACTAGTTTTTGCCTTGATTTGCTCACTGGTGTCTTCTGCATAGTCCTCTATCCATCAAGACTTTATTTAAAAATTTTTAAAATCAGAGTCATTTATAAATTGAAACATGTTTTTTTGTAACTCAGCAATAAAACAGAAAATCAAACAAAATGATGTCAAATTAGAAATGACGATCTCTTTTAAAGGCATTCGCCTCAACCCTCTCCATCATTCTCACTCGCTTCTCAGATGGGATGGCGGGCCCATCTTTGGGTATCTCTGCTCTAGAAGAAAATATATTTTTATGTTGTAAGCTTCATATTTAATCTGCTTGTTTTTTGTTGTGGTTGTTTTTTTTAAGCCTTCACAAAGAGCAATTTAACCCACTATAGTTACAAATGCAGTAATATTTTCATTGTTTTAGTAATATTTTTAAATGCATATTTGCCCTTTTTTATTTATCTTCATATTTCAAAATAGTTATAAGTTTTAAATGTTGTTTTTAACTGATTACAAGTTTTATAACTGTGAATAATTTATTAGAAAACACATTTTAGAATAGAAATAGTTTTAAAACATAATGTTAATGATTTTTTAGCTATAGATAAAACTATATTATAACTATATTTATATAATGTTCAAAAAGCATTTATCACAATTTACAATAAGGTTTTATTCGTTCATTAATTTACTAACGTGATATAATAATTAACAATACTTACAGCATTAATTAATCATAGTTTATCAAAACTCAGTTAACATGAAATAACAATGAACATTTATTTATATATATATATATATATATATATATATATATATATATATATATATATATATATATATATATATATATATATATATATATATATAATTAATTTATTAACATTAACGAAGAAGGATAAATAAGTGTTAGTAAATACTATAATTTTACCTTTTTGTAAAGTGTTACCATATAATGTAACTGACTAAAGATTTAAAGAACATATACAGTTGAAGTCAGAATTATTAGCCCCCCTGAATTATCTTTTCCCCAATTTCTGTTTAACAGAGAGATTCTTTTCAACACATTTCTAAACATAATAGTTTTAATAACTCATTTCTAATAACTGATTTATTTTATCTTTGCCATGATGACAGTAAATAATATTTGACTAGATATTTTTCAAGACATTTCTATACAGCTTAAAGTGACATTTAAATGCTTAATTAGGTTAATTAGGTGAACAAGGCAAGTTAGTGTAGCAAGTTATTGTATTTCGATGGTTTGTTCTGTAAACTTTTGAAAAATTATAGCTTAAAGGGGCTAATCATTTTGACCTTAAAATGGTTTTTAAAAATTAAAAACTAATTTTATCTTATCTGAAATAAAACAAATAAGACTTTCTCCAGAATAATAAAAAAAAATTCCTTGCTCTGTTAAATATAATTTGGGAAATATTTAAAAAATTAAATTAAATTCAAAGGGGGGCGTTTAATTCTGACTTTAACTCTTCATACACAAACACTACTGGTCAAAAGTTTAGGGTCAGTTTTTTTTATATTATTAATTATATTTAATAATTTAAATGAAATTATTTTGTTCATCAAGGCTGCATTTATTAAATGTAAAAAGAAAATTGTAAAATATTTTTTTATTACTTATTGTATGTAGTTTCAAATGATATTATTACTTCAGTCATTGTTGCTTTTATTAATGTTACCATTAATAATAATAACAATCAATATTAGAGTTATTTCTGAAGGATCATGTGACTAAAGACTGGAGTAATGAAGCTGAAAATTCATCAATAAAATGACCAGAATCAGTTGTTTTATGAAAACTGTTTTAGAAAACAGTTATTTTAAAGTGCAATAACATTTCACATTTTTACTGTATTTCTTATAAAATAAATGCAGCCTTGGTGAGCAGGATAAGCGTATATACATATACTTAGTTAAGTGAATATTTCATGTATAACCAAGAATGAAAGAATAATAGATAAGTGTATTTATAGTTTTGTATCATTTATAATCTTAAAGAATATTTGTGACTACCCTTTTTAAAATAAGAATTAATGTAGTCCACCAGGTGGCAGTGTTAACAGACTGTTTATCACCAAAAAAATTGCAAAAGGCATTTGCAATGAATTCAAATCACATTCCCTGAATGCTACAATCCCATCTGTATTTTTTATTTTCAGGAGCATCGCAAAATGCTTACAGCACTCCTGAGGTTTGGCTGACCATATTTGTGACCACCTGTGTTGCAGTCCTTCCCTCAATAACAACACGAGCCTTGGGTGTTGTGCTAGCAAACCCCAACAAACACAAGGTTGCTCCTTACTTTTGTCCCAGTTTACATGAAATAAGCATTGACATTGTTTATGCTCACCTTATTTGTTGTTGCAGATTCACAGCTCAGCGAATGAACCCGTAGAGCTTCAGTCGTGGTTTCAAAGAGGTACTGTTCAGCGTCGATCATCCTACGCTGTTTCCCAAGGGAAAGGTTTCGGAAAGTTAATTACCACAGGAGTTGGTCTTCCCTCAGCAGCGCCTCGACAGGATGGGAGAGTTACAGCAGAAAGCCTGAAGAATGAATCTCCACAGGGTTTACACATAGAAATGAATAGTGCTGGTGTGTCATGCTAGCATCTTTAGTCATGACAGGATTGGGATTAGCGAATGTAGCATCAAGAATCTGTGCTAAACAATCATTGTTTATATATATATATATATATATATATATATATATATATATATATATATATATATATATATATATATATATATATATATATATATATAAACCCACTGATAGGGAACTTTTTGTCAATATAAATTTTTATATGCATTTTTTTTTTTATTAAAATACAAATAAGTAAAGCCAGTTTTGTGATTTTAGATAAATAAAATAAAAATTACAATAAATAAATACAATACAATTTAATCAAAAATCTATTATTTTACTCTTTATTGCTGCAAACAAATCCAGGCTAGGTAAATAAAGAGACTGTAGCATGAAAATGTTCAACAATGGTTGTATTTTATTTCAAAACACGCAAATTACCCATATTTCCTTATTATTTTTTTTCCTGTAACAGTTATTACTCCAATTTGTCTCCTTCTGAAGAGTGTCCACTTGCACTAAATGAAAAGTGCTCCACAGGCTCTCTGGCTCCCCCTGTAGGACAGAAAGAGGAACGAGGCTCTCCTTGATGATGTGCCCTTTAACCTTTAACAGCTGCCTGAGAACAAGTTTTTGTGTGCATGTGAAGCTTCACTGGATACTAAAACTGGAAAATTCTTGTGCATAAGATTTTGATCACAAACAGGCCATCTTTCTTTACTGGGCCTTGATTTTCAACTTGAATGCAAAAGTTCAGCTGGAGCATATCTACAGCTTCAGAAACACACATTGATTGGTTGTTTGGATTGTCTTTACCCTTTTATCAGTCTTTGGCTTGGGTAGATGTGCTCTAAGGAGAGTTTCTGTACATGTAAATGGGTCTTGCTTACACTCTTCCCTGAAAACTGTTAAATTAACCCAGGTTTATTTGCTAAACTGCATACATTTCCTGTGTTTAGTGTGGTTTGCTGATCTTAGCTAGGATAGCTAATCAACTTGTTGATCTTCCAACGCCTATATAAAAAAACAACATACCAGATTGGCTAATCCCAGCAAACCAGTTCAGTTTAGTGCAACATTTCAACATTTTCTGCCACTCTGTAATTGGTGCAGGTATCCTTGAACATCATCCTGGTTGTTGAAGTGGAGTTAGGGAAAACTGAAAAGCAGCCTGAACCAGCAACATCAATTCGGATTGAGGTAACGGTTTTGCTTTTCTCTGGATTTTTGCATAGTTTTCTGTGCAAAGACAACCAGTCTCATCAGTTCTTTATTGACTGGTTTGTGGTTATTAGAGAGCATTATTAGCCCAAACATTAGCACTTGACTGTGCTAGCTCTTTTCAATTGGTTTAGTATCTCGCTAGATGCTGATAGTTGACATTACAATTACTCTCTGAATATTTTTGGTAGATAAAATTATAACAAAATTAGAAAGACTTGAATGTTTTCTATGGATTGCATTTAAAATAACAGGGAAGAGTGTTTGCGGAGTCAGCACACCATAAGCACCACAGCAAGCTAAATAGGGCAGTGGTCGCCTACTTGCGACAAACGAGAGCCTCTTTCCTCCTTCCTTTCTCCTCTTCTCAGCCTGTCTTCTCTCTACCATTTTATTTTCTCCTTGTTTTGAAACTGATTGTCTTCTACCATCACAAAGACACTTGGTTCTGATTGATTGACAGGAAACAGAAGAGGAAGAGCACAGTGTGACTGGGGGGGGGGGGGTTGGATCTGCAAACAGACCCGGAGAGAAACGTGATGTACATGATGCTGTTTTACAGTCGATGAGAGACCATTTCTGGTTGGAGGGGTCTGTTGCAAAAAACTGGCTGGTAGCATTCCAGTTTTGCATGAAATGGCGTGCAACCCAAATTGAGAAACACTCCACGTGTAAACAAATGCACACAAGATTACATTTTTAGAAGAGACGTGTACATTGGGTCCATGACCAAATTCAGTTGCCCAGGATACACGGTCATGCCCCGTTATTAAGAGTAATATACATAAAAGAAATACAAGGAGGGCAGAGAGAGAGCTGCAACAATACATGCACACAACCAGTGAAAAACAACAGTGACAGAAAACTCTACAAAATAAAGACCCCTCCAACACCTTTACCACCCTTCCCACCCATCTCCAACCTCCCCCGGGGTCTGTTCATCCTAGTCGCACCCACCAAAGTCCAGGTCGATCCAGCTTTACTCTATACAGTATACAATTACTCATGCAGAAAAAAAGTGTCCCCGCCACTTTAAATGGGAGGAGTTTGTTTTTTCATTTGTCTTTTAAATTAATGCTAGGAGCACTTAACACAATCAGGTTAGCTTTAAATAAAGAGGAAAGAAATTGAAATAGTTACAGTTTAAATAATGCTGAAACTGAAATGATTAGGACAAAAATCGATGCATATATTGGAAATTCTGCGCAATGTGATTTCGCTCTTTCAGTTTTCCTTTTCCTTCATGTCATGTCTTTCATTAGAAACATTCAAATGTCTTTCTTTTATAAAGAATTACATACCACAATTGATCAAAAAATAAAATAAAATAAAACAATTGGCAAATGAGTGAACTGAACAACACCAACAAAAACACAATTTAACAGTATAAAGCTTCAAGTCACAAGTTCAAAAACTAACTATTATTAGTCTTAGTAGTGTTAGTGTACTCATTGTAATTAACATTAGTGTAATCTAAATTACATAAACTTTACACAAAACATTTGAGGTATTTCAGAATCAATTGTCAACACCTTCCTGCCAAGTCTGTGTGGTTTCCAATGGGAGAAATATAAGAGGGAAATGGTTCAATGCTTTTTGTGAAATGGCCGTTTTTCCTAAATCACTTAAACATTTCATTCAAAATCTGTTCAGCACCGTAATCAATGTAAAATGTTCATTTTAGCAAACCACGTTCCTCAATTAGTGCTCATGAAAACAGGCCACATGTGGGTACAGCACTGAGGCATATTGAGGGAAATCAGGGTGTGTATAGCATTGATCATGCTAGCTAATATAAAATAATATTTTGCGAATATTCGCCAGTGCATACAGTAAACTGGCATCCCTCTATTATTAGACAAGCCTAATATGAAGGTACTTCTGATTTTGTACGAGCTCTGAGCGCAAATAATGCAGTGACAATGGAGGAATAATAAATAAGGTCATTAAAGTGCTTAAACACCAGTTTAATATCAAACTAAAGTTAAATCACACCCTGCTTCAATATCTATATGCCTATGCGCTGTACATTCGTATTTTGAGTGAATGTGTGAACGCGAGCTTGTGGTTAAATGTGACAAGAATGGGAGTAAACGCAAGAGTTAATACGCATACTCAAAATTATGATGCTGCCCCTTTAACTAAAATGCCGTGAAACCCGTCAACGGTCAAACGCGTAAGTGTAACCCATGTTTATGCAGAGAAAACTCCTAGAAAGCAGCTCCGGTTTGTGTATAAACTTAATATGTGTAAGTGTGCTGCGTGTTGTTGTGTGTTCCAGTGCAGTCCCACCCGTTGTTGAAGGAAAAAGGCACTCAACTCAACCTGCATAGCAGCCGTATCCCTCATTGCGGTGCTATGCAGTCTGACTGCACTGTGAGATTATGTATATGTCAGCATATGCGTAACGATCCGTTTGTAAGTATGTATGCATCTGTAACAGCTTTGGTTTTGCTATTGGGCTTTTGGTTTGTGTGTGTATTCCTCCCTTTGGCAGCACAGGACTGGCAGGTCAAAGAATCTTTGGTATCAGTGGCTGTTTCACAAACCACCCAGCTCAGTGAGGTAGCCACACTGGTTCTCACTACAAACAAAAGGTCTGTTTTATCAGCTAATGTACATATAGATGCCCACTGATTTGTGTTGCACAAATCGGCTGTCTCTTAATGCTCATAACCAGGCCCACATGGATTCTGTGCGCAGAAATCCTGTCTTTCACACAGTCTGTTGTCCCACTCATACGTTTTGGCAAATTTGATGATTATGCTTTCAGCTACATATTGGACCATGTTGGAATTTACTCAACAGAATACCGCTGACTCCTGAAAATTCTGCAGATTCTTTGTGGGTCTGCTTATAACTCAATGCTCAGAGCATAGTTGAATTAACAGTGCTCACTTTCATCTGTTCAGCAAGTCCTGCAACATTTCCAGAAAATGCTACTGTTGCATTCAAATGTACTAAAAGAAGACTCCTCTAAGATTTTAACATCTCCCTATGGAGGTAAGCTTGTGCCCTTGTTTCGCACCCATTTTGGCAGGGTTTTTGAGGATGTTAAGAGGAATTTTGGGTGGAAATCTCGTTTTTGGTTTACTTTTCAACAGAGTTACATCTCCTTTGTGGTCAGTTAAAGTTCCTTCTGTTATGACCTGTGGTAGTTCACATGCAATGCAGAGATGTCCAGTTTCAGTCCTCTCAAGTTTTGTTATTCTTTTAGAAAGTCTTTTTTTATGATTTTTTCACATGATCAACAAGGTGCCTTACATTTGCACGGATCATATATTTAATAAGAAATAGAAATACTTTTGTACCAATTACCCGCTTTAATATTATGAAGAGAAAGCAAGTGGGAGACATTAAGAGAAAAATAAGGGATTAAGAGTTAAAGAGGAGAAGGAACAGAAATATTTTAGTATTTTTTTCTGTTCTTGTTGTGTTGCTGCAGAGCGATTTCTAGCTTTTCATTTAGTTTTATTATAGACTAGCTGTAGTGAATGATTTAAAGCATTGATTATTTTCATAATTAAAAAAGATTCTGTTTCTTTTTAAAATATGATTGTTGGTTGCTATGGCACGTAATGCCGGTTTGGAAGTGGACTCTGGCTGAGGGTGTGTGAACTTCTATTTTATATTAAGGCAAACATTATTGGCACTAGATTTTATGTAACATTTTGCACTATGTTTACCCCTTGTCCACTTTTCAGGATAAACATAACATTTTGATTTGTCAGTAATATTTCAGTTGTGTATGGATGTACCATTTTGTAACAAAAATTCCCATTTGTATTTAAAATGTGCCTTTCGTTGTGTTTGGCTGTACCTGTCTTGACCTTATTGTGGATCTATACGGAATGAAAAATATTCTTTTTGTATTTGAAATGTCAGAGATTACAGTCTCTTGAGATTAGAAAGGGTGCACCGTTGCTGAAAATGGTCCAGTATTTTGCCCCCAAATAGTGGTTGACTGATTCACTTGCATTAAAGAGAGTTCGGATTGTGATAACATGCGTTAACCACAAGTGCCATAAAATGTTACAGCCCAGGTAACACTCCATTTCCATCTGTGCAAAATAAACCGAATGGAGAGCCATGCTGGGCGAACATGGTAGTCCTTGTTGTGGGAGCTCGTTCCATTTCACCTTCAGTAGAGGTCGACGTCCTTTGCTTTTCTGTCTGTATCGATTAGTCTCTCAATTCATTAGCTTAGCATATGATCTGAGAGCCTCTGTGAAACAACTGGCCATTAGGGAATTGTGCCGCTGTGGGCCTGAGAGTGATGATGCAGGTGGTGGCTTTCTTTGACAATCTTGTTTGAGTAACAAGCTGTCTGTGCTGTGAGCTTTGAAAATGCTCATTGTCCACAACTGCTTGAAGAAAGCACTAACAGGCCTCTTCAGCTCACTTTTTTTTTGGTTTATGTGAATGCTATGTGGTGCTTTTTCTCTGTTAAGATGTTTGGCTTGGTTTCATAACAGTCCCAAAGAAGTAAAAGGTTGCATTTACGGGAAACGTTGCCATTTTTGGCAGCAGTGGGATTGATTGGCACGCAACGAGTGACTATGTGAGGTTGGAATGAATATCCAGTCTCAGCCACCCAAGGGAATGGGGGTTTCGATTTAAGCCTTGGAAAAGGTGGTGGCAGAGGTGCCTGGCTGGCCAGGACTGGCTACATGGCCGTGATGGTGTTCCTCATGCCAGCGGTCAACACATCGCCGACGTGCATTCATGAAGAAGTTGCTGACGGTGCTGAGTTCCAGGCCGAGCTGCTGTGAGATAGTCAGCTGCATTTCCTTCGAGGGCCGCTTGTTCTCCTTGAAAATGGCGATGAGTGTGCGACGCTGGAGGTCGGTGAAGACCAAACGCTGTTTCTTGGGCGCCATATTGCGTTCCTTGTGCTGCTCCTGTTCCTTTCGCTTGCAGGCTGTGGGGATCAGGAGGATGAATAAGAAAAGATCAAGGAAAGTGAAGTGGACAAAGAAAATTGATAGAAAAAACACCTCATTAGACTCTTGTTTGCTTTACATACTTCAATGCCCTATTTCAGAGCAAATTCCACCGATGAACAGCTTTGCAGGGAGTCGAAATGTTCAGACTCTCCTGTTTGGCTGTGGATTAATAGTGATTTAAGACAAATCCATTCTATCTCCCCAGAGGTCAAAAATCATCCCTTTAAAGAGAGCAGACAGAGCAGGCCAGCGGTGAGCACCTCAGCCTGGTCGTTGGAGACACTGCTGTTTGATTCAATATTAATGCAGTTTGGGCTCACAGTAGGAGAGCGAGTGACTGGTATACAAAAGTAGGGGTCTTTGTGTGTGTGTGTGCGAGAGAGAGAGAAGGAAAGAAAGGAAGAAAGAGAAATAAAAAATAGAAGAATGCAAGGGGGATATTGACTCATCCTATTTTAGTGTGCATGTGTCTGTTTTTGGAGGTGGGGTCGTCCTCAGAGACTTCGGTCTGAACGCCCCTCCAGCAGGTCTGTAGTCTGCGACTTCAAAAAGAGGCCACTGGAGGGCACAGACCTAAGAGAGGCGGAGTATTTTCGAACTGCCTTTAACTCACACCACCACCTCCCTGTATGTTTCTGTCCTGGCAGCACACACAGAGAGATTCTGGCTGCCTATACTTGAGGGCAGTAAACATTGCAAGTGTTGAGCCAAAGTGCTAAGAAACACGAGTATGCCAAGAAATGTTTTGGTTCGTTTACAGCTTGCAAGCACATTACATATTATTTTAGTTTGTATGAACAGGTGATCTATTATTTATTTAAATAAAAACAAGGTGACTATAATGACCAGGGCTGCGTTTCCCGATAACGATTGATCTTAGCACTTAAGAGCGTTTTCTACGAGTCATTTTGCGAACGTTCGTTATTGTTTCACGTGCGTTTCCCAAAAATGCACTTAACACAATTGCACGTAGCCCAGCTTTAAGTGCAACTTAGGAGTCGCTATCCGTTTGTTAAGTGCTGAAATGTCACGCTATAGAATGGCTCGTTATTGTTGCACATGTTATAGCAATCCATATAATTCTTCTTCTACTTGTGTGAATGTATATTCAACTCGAATAACATAAAAAAAAATATATTTTTGAGCCAGTTTAAAAACATAAATTAACTGGAAATGTCGTACTGTAAAAACACTGTCTTGCTCCAATCTCGCATAAAACTAATTCTAACAGTCCTTGCCGGAAATGACATCAGCATCATTTTCGATATTTATATGAAACCTTAATTAAGTAGAATTATTTATCAATTTCTTTATCAAAAATTGCTTATCTCACATCAAAATAAATAAATAAGTAAATAAATAAATAAGCTCTTACATCTATTTTTGAAAAGTTTAGCCTAATTATTAATTATTATTATTTGTATATTGAATTGTGTAATGTGTAGAAAATATAAATGAATAGAGATATACGTACAAATAAAATGAATAATGACTTTGAAGAGAAGTAAATTGTAGGTGCAATTTGCCGGTTGTCCAGCAGGTGCCCTCATAACTCTGTCTCCTTACGATGCACTTAAGGCTTTACGATTACTCCAGAGCACTCGTAGATCCACGAAGATTTTCAAGTGCTACTTAAGTTACGATGCTTTTGGGAAACAGACCGTAATATTAAGATCAGTCGTACGATCATTTCTACGAACTTCTTAGGCTTACGATGCTTTTGGGAAACGCAGCCCAGTATGTTTTCTTCTTGTCCCGTGCTCTCCCAGAGCTCTTGCTTCTCTCAGCGGTTTTTGTGAATGGATCATTCATTTCTTACCTCAATAGCCTGTAAAAGCAGTAGCAGCTTACTCGGGTTTTATCTGTCTGTGCGTTTGTGGAGTGACTGGAGCCAAACTGTGGTGCCATGTATCTAATTACACTGAGCTGAGGCCCATTGATCACGTCACCTCTCGCAGTCAAATCTGTTTACTACAGGCGTCTAACTGCCTGGACCGCATCCATCATATTCAGATTCCATATCAGCCGCTCTGCGTTTGCGCGCGCGCGCTCACACACGCCATTAAAGGCTTTGTACACTTGAAGCGCACGCTTTAAATGTTGACGGTACTTTAACGTGTCTGTAATATTTGTTTTCGCATAACATTACTCCCATCGCATAAAGGTGTCTTGGAGCGCCGAGTCTGAAGTGAATGATGAAGCTTTAAAACCTTTTAAATTGTAATGAATCGTCTGTGTTGCTCGACTGAAATAACTACGTCTGAAAAGGCAAACCTCAGCGTTTCCGACGCAGACGATCCTTTCAGCGAGATTTACCAAAGCATTTTGTTTTTCTTTTCTAATGACGATGGCTCTTAGTCTACCAACACTTTATTTTGAATGTACACCCCCTCGGCGATCAAACAAACCTGTAAGGTTGTGATTTCGGTGTTCCAATCAGAGTCTACCAGCAGGTGTCGCTGGTGCTATTCCCTGGTGTAAACGGTTTACAGGCGTAAGATTTTGTAATCAATATTGATCGATCGGTTGGGAAGGGGGCCCTGATTACTGAACCAAGCTCGGCGTAGAAAAGGAAAAAAATCGATAGCTGCAGACTTTAGAGCTACAGTGAACAGAGAATGGGACAGAAGCACAAATATATTGTACAGAAAGAAAGAAAAAATAAGCCAATGAATGACAAAGTGAATTGAAGCTTTCGGATGAGATTTTGACGCCCTCTATTCGCTTATTTGCACGTTTGATAAATTCCACAAAGTCTAAATAAACCCAGACTGTAGCCTTTTTCTGTATTTTCTTTCTTTCTTTTTTAGTGCCTTTGGAATTGATATGTGCTAGTTGTATTTGGATAACTTTGTTCCGCTGCTTGTTCTTTTGTTTTATCTTTAGATCTTTGAGTCGAATGAGACTTAAATTAAAAATATATATTTATTTATTTAAATTAGGATATTTGTTCATATATTGATACATTTGATAATTATTAAACTTTGTCTTTAAAGTTAGTCCACATGACAGAAAGTGTACTTAGGGTTTACTTAGACACTACAATATGTTCAATATAAAGAATACCGCTCATATTTTTAAGTATTTCTTCACCCTTTTAAAATTTTTATTAGTAATTGCACTATTTCTTAATAATAAAAAAAATACTGGATCGTGCCTGGATAAATAAATAAGCAAAATAGTGTACAGTGAAAGGATGCGAATCTTTTTTTAAAGAAATATAGCTACTAACATAATAGCTTGATGCAGTTTTGTGAATGCCACATGGGTAAAACCTCGCATTTTTAATGTTTTTCTATATAAAAATGATGCATTTTTCATAAAACCATCTTTAAAATGTGTAAGGTGTACATTTTTAAGCAATTATGAGTTGCTCACATTTTACAATGTTTTCACAGAAGAAGTTTCGGACATGCAAAACAAATGAAACGCGGGTAAGGCATGTGGTGTTGGGTGTTCAATACCGGTCGATAAATCCGTAAATAATTCGTTTTTGAAATTCATTTAATCTAATTAATTATAGTTCCATGAAAAAGGTTCTGGTAATGAGCCAGAAACTACGGTAGGCCTGCTTTGTACCAATGGGGCGCTGACTCTAAATTCGAAATAATACCAATTTAATAGTACTGCGTGCTGTGCGGTGTGGGGAATGACAAATGAGGACACACTGCAGAATGATTCTGAATAATGACTAGAAAACACAACTGCAAGCGTCCAGAAAACCTCATTTATGTATGGCCTATGATGCTGTTAATTAGTCTCGATGTGGCACATTGGCCAACCGTAGGTAGCCTACGTTTTTAAATTGCTCTGTATTCACCGCAAACGGCTCCCGAACGTTTTTTAATAAATGAGGTTTAAGCTATTAGACTATGTATACAAATGCGTTTTGTAATGAGAGCACTTAGATGAATCATTTTTCTTATCAATCGTTGTTTTATGATTTATGTATGGCCTACTAGTGAAAGTTTGTGTTTTCACGAACTACAATTTGAAGAATGTAGGCCTATATTGCTAACATATGTACATGGTAAGTATAAATATTTGTCTGAATATTTGTCAAAAAAAAGGTAATCAAGACCAAAGTAAGAGCTTAGAGTTAGTGTGCTTTTCGTGGGTTCTGCCTTTTTTGTCTGGTCGTGTTAAATGGTTAGCTGCCGCACTTGTAAACAAGATTTTGCTCAAGGCTGTCTCTAAATACTCGACTAAATTTGAAGTAATGCAATAAGGAAAGATCAGTATGCTAATATTCAGGCAATTTAAAATAACACCACAAGCTGTTGGGTAGAAGCTATAACCGTTGGTATTAAACTTCAGAAATGTGTGTTGATGGATATTTAAAAGGCCTACTAAAAGGTAAACTATTTAATGTAAAACATTTGACAGTTTTTGTAATGTAAAATGTATTCTAGACTTGCATATTGCGGATTTTGTTTGCGAATTATGGTCCACAATTATTTTAGGCGGGAAAGTTATTTATTTATTTACATATTCTTTGAAAGATATTTCTGTCAACTTGCTCTTCATGGCGCAATCTGTTGAGGCGACTATATGTTGAAACAGTTTTTTATTTCAATTGTCGCATAATTTCAGAATTATTACCGTGTGTGCGTGTGTGTGTGTGTGTGTGTGTGTGTGTGTATATATATATATATATGTATATATGTGTGTGTGTGTGTGTGTGTGTGTGTGTGTGTGTGTGTGTGTGTGTGTATGTATATGTATGTATGTAGCCTGTGTGTGAAGGTATATGTCGTGTATAAAGCAGTCTATCTTCTGCGTGTCAAGTGGTTGTCGGCCTTACGGCCTTATATGTTCAAAGCTTACGATGGGAATCGTTGCCATATGATAAAATATTTATATCACAGAATACAGCATGTCTTTGAAGGTACAGTGAAATGTATGGGCCAAACGATAAACGTAGTTCTCATCAAAGGCAGTCGTACACGTTTGAAGTATAGGACTACATTTAGCT